CGCTATAGTGATCCGTGCATTAAAAAGGATGCATTGAACAAGATGCATAAATGGGCCACTTGAAGCCAAACAGGTACCTGATCACCCGAGATAAACAGCATGCAAAACCCAATGAATGAGTCCTGGCTGGTTCAGGAGATTTGGAACAGGATGTGGAGATTTTCACTCCTAGCTCAACACTGTAGGCTCTTCATTTCCAAGGACGTCGCAACACCTCCCCACAGAACTGCTCATATATCCATGGCAAAGTCACATCCTTGTGGTTGTGCCATGTGCAACTTGTGCTGACCAAATCAGTGGTCATTGAGAGGGATTGCAGAGCTCCTGACACCACAGGGGAGCTGAGCAAGCTGTGCTGCAGGAGGACCATGGCCATACAAGATCAGCCTGATGTTCACTGCTTTGAATGGTGCTCTGAAAAAGTACAGGGGAGCTGACAATGTAGCTAACCCTTCAGAATGATCTTTCCCTTCTCCTGGGAAAATCTGCAGGAAACAATATACATGGAGGAGATAAGCAAATGTGCTACTAAGAAGTGAACATATAATTTTGTAAATTGGTAATTTGCATACATCAACTAGTTTAAAAATTAATTGATCTTTTCTCTTTTGCTTTTTTTTGTTTTTTATTCTCTCCTTGGCTTTCACTTTTTGTCTGAGATCCTCCAGGTCTCTAACCTCACTGTCTCATGTAAAGCAATGCTGTGAGCCCAAACCCAGAGAGTCTGTTTATAAGCATTTGCAAATCCTTCAGCTTGACTCTTCCAAGCACAACCAGTCCAACATGACGGGAGGGGCATGTTGCTCTATAAAGCTCTTTAAGTCTTCTGATCCCACGCAGTTTAGGAAGATTCTGGCCCAGAGTACCAGCCACTTTGATTATATTAACCACTCAAAAGAATCACAAACCGCATTTAAGTGGGCAGAGAAGGACTACACAATGATGAGATTTGGCTTTGTTTCTTTGTTTGGCTGGGAAGACCCCAACTGTAGATGTCATGTGCCAAGACCTAAACTGGGAAAAAGACTATGTCTGCTGTGATACACACACTAGCATAACCCTGTGGGGCATGGCACCCAGCAATAAAAGATTAGAGGAGCCTCAAACTGCTCTAAGTTGTGCCAAGCACCCAACGGGCTCCAGGACCAAGGCAGACCCATGATCAGAGACTGCTAGTCATCCCAAGCGCTACGTTCAGCTGGACACAACATACCTGTCACCATTATTCTGTGTCCCAGCCCAGCTAAGGCCTTGAGACTTAATTGTGTGCATCCCTTCTGCAGGCACTGGAATTTGCTTTACTCAAACTCACCACTTCCCTACAGTAATGGTGAGAAACCAGTCCAACTCATAAGGCCTCTCTGAGCAAAATGGTCTGGAGAAAGGTCGAGAAATTCTTCCTGTCAACAAGAGCCTGGGGCTTTTTAATTTACTAGGGCTGTTGAGTCAATTCTGTATGTATGTGACTCAGTCGTTTCCTGAGTTTGTGCTGAAAATTTGGAGAATATCTGAGGCAGATCACACTTCTCTCTTCTAACTTCCAGGTGGTCTGTTTGCAGAGTCAGGATAACAGCACAGATTGTATCATGCTCAGGTTTCCTTTGACACTAGCATGTGTAGAATTTACCTCAAATTAAAGACAAAATTATGCAAGCACACAATCAAAAAAAGACATAATTTCTGGAACAGCTCCAAGTCCATTCTTAGCTCTTCCCTGATGAGGAAAACGCATTGTCCAAGGTCTAACCAAAGTGTACTGAAAAGGGATGAAGGAGGTGGTTTACAGGCAAATAGTTTGTTCCCCAGAATTTAAAAGACCAGGAGGAACATGTTTCTGGGAAGCCTGTTAAAAAATAGTAATAAAGGCCAGCTGCCAATTTAGGTGATATCTGTAACAAATCAAGTATGAGCCACTTCAGGAGAAGAAATCATTTGAGAATCCAGTTGCTCTTTTTGCTCCGGAGTGCTAGGGGTAACATCTACAGGAAGGATCTCCTATGCTTGTGGACAGCTGCAAACAATTAAATCCACTCCAGGAAACCGATTACAAGATGGTGGTAGGTAGTGAACACACTCTAAAATTCTGTTTTCTGATAGCTGGTATTGGAAAGGCTGGTAACATCACATGGGTGCCAGGGTGCTAGAATCTCCTCAGCACTCGGTTAAAGAGGACTGCAAGCTGGCACACGCTGCCAGAAGACCCCCTCAAGGCCCTGCTGACTCTAATCAGAATAGCAAAGTGGGAACAGCACATGGACATCTGTGTTGTTCCTGGCTCAAGATGCTTACGCAGCTCTTGTTTGATCTCCAAGGCATTTGAAGAGGTTGCGTGCAGAAGGACCTATCGATCTCCTCCATGCTCAGGTCTCAGACACATGGTGTGGCAGGAGGACCAAGGCTGGCTCCCATGATACAGAGTTCAGAAATGCAGGTCAAAGTCTGCGTCTTTGCCTCCTCTAGTTTCTCCTCCAAATCTGTATCATTGTGTCTTGCAAATGACAACAGCAGATCTCCTGTCTTGGTGCAATGAGGAAGCTCTGAAACGTTTCAGCATTTTGGTAGTTTGCAGGCAGACAAATGTGAAGTCCATTTATCCATCATCAGCCTTCCTCAAGAATCATCCATGTTATTGGGAAACCCATTTTATGGGAAATGCTATGTTCAGTTCAAATGCTTCTGCATTCCTCAGTAACTATTGTCTTCCAGTGTCCAGAAACTCTAAAATTGCACCACTTCAAAAGCCAGAATTTCTTATCTTCAGTCTATGATTTAATGATAAAAACACCCAAGGAGGATGAACATCCAGATACCTCCTCAAGTAGTAAGATCAGAAATGACTGCACTGTGTGGAAGGCGCTTGGTTCCCCTGGGTTCCTGTTAACACAGAATTGTCTTTCCAGGCAGGTGAACAGTGACAGTGCAGACCTTCAAAGCACCTCCTTTTGATTAACACTTTGCTGCCCTTCCATACACACCCATTCAATTCCCATCTCGTTTTACCAGTTGGTACTCTTGAGACTCATCAGAAAAGGAAATTATTTTACCACCTGCAGTTAAGGAATTAAGGCTTTCAAATTATATGAAATAGTTAGGTCTGTTTCGTATGGCACATCAAATCTTAATGGAATCCATCACTGAGCTTCCCCTCTGTTCATCAGCTATCATAGCAGCCTGGTCTGCTACCACGTGTATCCTTCATTAGGAAAAATGGAGTATTACCATTACAGTTGCATATGGCAGGAGTTCAGATAACTCTTCTGTAATTAGAAATTGATCCAATTTGAAAAGTCTTGATCTGGATTCAAGTTCTTCCCAAAAGAAATAGCCTGGAGATCTATGCTTTTAGCACAACCACGTTGCTTATAGATAGAGATATTGATTCCTACACTCCTCCAGGCTTCAAGGGTTGACGTCTCCCCAGCATGGAAAGACTGGAACTGCTGGGGCTTCCTGGGGCTACAGCTATATCAGAATAGTGGCTGTGACTTTGATGCCTCATATTGGACTTCCCCCATGTTTCCTGTGGGGAACACTGGCAGGATGAACTTACAGTGCCACCAAGAAGCCAACGGCAGAGACAACCACCCTAAAGCACAAGTCTGTGGTGTACAAGGGCTGCTCTCACTTCATGCACATGGGAATGTGGAGGACCACAGCATTTGTTTTCTGTCCTACCCGACTCTTTTCATGTCTCAAGGGGCAAGTCTGGGACAACTGGAAGATGCTGTTCATCCTATGTCCTTCACACCACAGCTGATCCTGCATTGGAAAGTGAGAGCACAGGAGCTCAGCAAAACGCATTTCCACGTGGTCTTTCCTACTGCTCCCTGCCAAAGCAAAGGAGTACTGGGAGAATAGAGGAGTTGTGCTAAGTGTAATCCAGCTTACAACCCTTCCAGGAGGGGTGATGGCTCTGTTCAGCTGTGTCCTTCGAGGCCTGAGGAGCTGCGGTGTCTAGTGAGCATTGCAGCACACAGTGGCAGTGGTACTAGGCTGACATCCACAGATGTAAATACCTCTGGCTGTGCCTATCCACAGAAAGGTCGCTGGGCCACGCAGGGAGAAAATAGTCAGCTCTGGGCTTCCCCAAGCTGGGCACAGTGATGCCTGGATCCCCAGATGAGCTCAGAAGCTGACTGCATCTGTTCAGTAGATACACACCCAGGGCACCACCTCATGCTCACTCAGGGGCAGGTACAGGTGTGCTCTGGGCACCTACATCTCCAGTACTGACAATTAGAATGCACTTTTCATTCACAGTCTCCATTAGACTTGGAGGGTGAGCTGTGAGATGCTATTGGGCTTGCTGGCTGTTATAGGTTTGAACCAGAGGTGAAAAATGTCTCACATCCCATTCCACATCCCTCAGACTATGCAGCCCCACTTTAACCTCTCCAAGAAATGTCATTTTAAGGATCACTTAGTATGTCTCCCTGGGTTTTTTTGCAGGTTTTGACATTTGAAGGGGAGAAATAAACAACCCACAGCCTGCCACGAAGTGGCACAGAGTGGTGAACAGCTGGGTGCTAAACCCGCTTCTGGGCCCATGAGGTGCAGACAGGATAGGTAAGAGGCAGATCTCTGCAAGGGACTCCCTCCAGTCATGGAGGAGGGAGGTGGCTGTGCACTGGGGAAAGCCCCCCTGCTCAGAGGGGAGGATGTGTCAGCGGGGCACACAGAGCTTTGACCTAGCTCAGGGGGAGCAAAAGGGACCTGACCTTCCGTGAAGCTGCAGAGGAGAAAGGGAAAGGAATCAGCCAGGACAAACATACTCTTGGAGGAAGAGTCAGGAAAAGAGAACAACGGCACTCACAAAAAAAAGAAAATACGAACCCTTCTCCCCCACCCCACCCCTCTGGTCTCCCTTTCTGAACCTGCACAGCTCAAACTGCATTTGCCAGGAGAATTTCAGAGCTACCCTTCCTCCAGCAGTTGCACGGAGGTCTCCTCTCCCCCAGCCAAGTAATTTCCATATTGACACAAGAACTACACTCACTTACTTGCATGACAGCTGATTAATCCCCTCGATGTAGTAGCATACCCCACCATTGACACAATAGGACTTGGCTGTTTCGTTGCATTTTCTAGCATGCCCGGACCAGGATGAGAGAGTTGTGGTTACTGCAGGGAAAAAAAAAACAACACACACACACGAAAAAGATATATTGTTATTTCCTTTGTTGGGCAATTCTGTTTTCTTAGATGATTTTCAACTAGTTCATTTGCCAAAGTAAAAACCTCAGAACTACAAATCTCAGCCTGTGCCTTCAGACCCACCTTCACCTCTCCAGGTCCTGGGGCTGCGACTTGACCTTTCCTTTCCCAGCAAAAGTGGTCGAGTGAGTGTGGAGCTGAGAATGTGCCTTCCTCTAAGCAGCCAGCATGTCAGGACAAGATCACCTTTTTGGTAA